CACACCCGTGCGGCCCTTGTCTCTCTTTCGCGCCACCGCCTCTGATTCCGCATTAAATATTTTTTTTCCTTAAATTATTTCTTTTGTACGCGCGTCTTTGACTCTACAGCGCCCCTCCCATAAGTTGGCCGAGGGTGTGGCTCCTGCGTCCTCTTAGTTATTTTTTCTATATTTAGATGTACAGACATACAACAGACGCTCAGACACACTCACACCGCTCAATTACTCTCACACACACACACACACATACACACACACACACACTAACACACTTAAAACACACACACACACACACACACACACACACACACAAACACAAACACACACACACACACACACACACACACACACACACACACACACACACACACACATATTTATCGATTATGAAAACGTAGTGTGCTCGAAAGGATGAAAATCCAATTTTCCACACAAATCGACTTCAAATCTTAGTTGTTTTAGTCATCCAGAATTAAATGATTGGATAACGGTATATCAGAACTTTTGGTTTCAATACTGAAGGAGAAGTGGGGAAAATGAAGTACTACAGTACTCTGCAGCATAAATGCACGTTCTCTTCTATCACAACGTACTATAAGAGAGGCAGCGTGGTGGAATCAGGCTCTCGTCAATTTTTGGGCATGTAGAGTTATTGGTATCATCTTAAAGCTTGTTCACCTGTCTTTATGTGGATGTAAAAAATATCCATTTATCTTAAATACAAATCGAGATATTAGCGGATGAAGGAGGAGGGGGTCACCTGTTTTCAGAGGTAAAAATAGTGAGAAAATGGCTGCCAAGGATTAATTATTTCCTTAGCTTAAGAGTCCGTAATAACTGAAAACTTACATTTTTTGTGCTTTTAATCAACGTTTTTCAGAAAAATCCACACAAAAATTGAGTTTTTTAAAGGGCATGAAAGATGTTGAGCCAAAAAACAATAATTTGATAAAAATTCCCAAACCTGCGGAAAATGCAAGTTTCTTCACTTTGATTATTTTGACGAGAGCCTGATTCCACCACGCTGCCTCACATGTTATAAGATGTATCTGACTGCGATCCGAATCAGTGGAAACTTTTGCTTGGCAGGTGTACTAATAATAGATAGCATTTGTATAGCGCATATTCCCGCTCAACAGCAGGCTCTATGCGCTTTACACTATATTATTACCCCAGCAGACCATAGAACACTCCGAAACATTCTCAGCTTCCCGGGAAGCATACAGTGCGAGCAGCCGATTAAGCGCTCAAACACTAACAAACTGACAAGATCTTTCGCTGTCTATAGCCGGGTACCCATTCCCACCTGGGTGAAGTGAGGAAAATTCGTGTAAAGTGCCTTTCCCAAGGACACAACGTCGAGCCCCTGACGGGATTCGAACCCACGACCTTACGGTTGCGAGTCCGAGAGCCTAACCACTAGGCCACCGACGCCACTAAGCCATAACCGAGTCCGTTCCTTTTGGTTACTCAGTTCTGCTAAAAGAAAAATACAGATAAAAAGAAAAATACAGATAATAAGAAAAATACAGATAATAAGAAAAATACAGATAATAAGAAAAATACAGGCACATAAAGGGATCGCCTTGAATAGAAGGACCACAACTAAAAGAGTTGAGTTGATCTGAAAAATTGTCGTCTTCTTTCTCAACCAACAGAGCGACTATATAAATTATAAAAGATCTCTTTGTCTGTGGGATAGTCAAAGGAAACAAAGCAGGGAATAAGAGAGGATAGCTCTAACAGTTAAAAAGAAAAATATCATCAATGAACAAATTGTGAAGAGGGGAAAAAATCATCTTTCCCCCCCCCCCCCCCCCCCCCCCCCTCTTTCCAAATTTGTTTTACCCAACCAATTTGGGCCCCCCGTGGCTTTTAGGGGGCTTATTCCCAAGAAAACCACCAGCCCACCCCTTTTTAAAAATCTCAGTTCCGAGAAAAAAAAGCCCGGTTTTTTCCCTCCCCCCCTCCCCCCCCCCCCCCCCCCCCCCCCAAAAAAAATAATAATCTGAATGTCGATTACAGACTAGATGAGTGACATAATAAAGAGATAAGAGATTGAGAATCCTTTCTGTCTTTGGTGAAACTCTATGGGCTGACAGTCAGAAAATTCCAAGAACTTAGTCTAAACTTTATTATAAAACTTCCATTGCTTTGAGCTACAACACGAGCAACAAAGTTCTTTTTTTAATTAGTCCTTTAGATGATGTTCTTCAAAACGTTGTTGATGTTAGTGAAGAGCAATATGAAAATTTTCATTGAAACTTTACGAAGGCAGAGAGAAGAGTATCAAGACCGATAGGACATAAACACGATGGTAGATTTCTGTTGAAACATAAATGTGAGGCAGCGTGGTGGAATCAGGCTCTCGTCAATTTTTGGGCATGTAGAGTTATTGGTATCATCTTAAAGCTTGTTTACTTGTCTTTATTTAGTTGAAAAAAATATCCATTTATCTTTAATACAAGTCAAGATATTTGCGAAAGAAGGAGGTGGGGGTCACCTGTTTTCTGGGGTAAATTAGTGAGAAAATGGCCGCCAAAGATTAGTTATTTCCTCAGTTTCAGAGTCCGTGGTAACTAAATATTTACATTTTTTGTGCCTTTATTCAATGTTTTTCACAAAAATCCACACAGAAATGAGTTGTTTAATGGGCATGACAGATGTTTAGCCAAAAAACTAAAATTAGATTTTAAAAATTCACAAACTGCTGAAAAATGCAAGTTCCTTCACTTTGATTATTTTGACGAGATCCTGATTCTACCACGCTGCCTCACAAATAGAGACTGCCCAAACACAAAGCACTCCAGGCATAGATGTACACTATAGTTTAAAAGGAGATAACTATGACTCCAGGCAATCCCGCCAAAGAAAGTTTCCGCCCTGATTAGGTTGCCTCCAGTATAAATGCAGAATATACTATTTCTGAACGTCGTGTTCACTTCTGTTGTGAAATGAAAGCCTGACATGATTTATATGAATGACAAAGAAAACTTGAGTCCCTCACTCTTTTGGTACTTTTTTCTTTGCTTCCTGCTCTGAACAGGGTTGGTATTTATATTTATTATAACTAATTCAATACTGACGATAACGATCACTTGTAAGCACACAAGTTAGTCTGCTTTGACTATGAAAGTTGATTTTTACGAAGATTATTGGCCACATTCCTTTCATTGTTTTGAAAATATGATAGCAGAGACGTAGGGTAACAAACACACTAACAATATCATCACTTAGAAGCGGCCCCCATGGGATTTTTCCGCATACTTTTATTAAATGCTAGGGATGAAGATGACGAATTATTTCCAAATTTTTGGTCACTCTATGAGGGTTGTGTCCCCCCCCCCCCCCCCCCCCCCCGGGGAAGCCGGGGGGGGATCAGAAGAAAGCCCCAAACAAATTTAACCTAAAAAAAAAAACGCCCGCTCTTCCCAAATTAAAAAATCGTTCATCCCCAAATAAAATAA